ATCCTAGTGACACTATTCCAAAAGCTGCCTGTCCTAGTGATTCAATTGAAGTAATAGAGGCTTTAGAGGATGTGGAGGCTTTGAATGATACTGTGGATGAAGGGGAAAGGATTTGGGGATTAATCTTGTAGACTTTTCGACTCTTGGTAGAGGAGGAATTGGGGGAGAATTTCGAAAAGGAACAGGAGGGTGGCACTTCAGTTCTTAGTTCTCAAGTAAGGGGAAGGGAGGGAGAAAGGGCAAAGACAGGTGAAAAAACAACAAAGAGGAGAAATAAGATGAAGAGTAAAAAAAACAGAAGTCTCTAGAGAAGCCATAGTGATGGCTTCATTATGGCTTTTTATCACGACTGTTTTGACATAATTAAGGAAGAACTAATAGAAGTCTTTAGAAAATTTGAGGGCAATCATGTGATTAGTCTTGGAGTGAATGTCACATTTCTAGCTTTGGTTCCGAAAAGGTTGATGCTAAACATCCCAAAGATTTTAGGCCGATCAGTTTGGTGACTAGTATCTATAAGATCTTGGAAAAAGTTCTCTCTTTGAGGATCAAAGTTCTTTCTCCTTTTATCAGTCAAGCCCAAGGAGCCGTTGTACAAGGAAGACAGATTATAGATAAGATCCTTCTTGCAAATGAATGCATGGAGGAGATGAGGAGATCAGTTAATCGGGGTTTCATATGCAAATTGGATCTGGAGAAGGCTTATGATTTAGTGGATTGGAGCTTCCTACTAGAGGTCCTAAGGAAATGTGGTTTTGGGGATTAATGGTGTAATTGTGTAAGTGGTTGCCTAACATCTTGTCACTACTCAGTTTTAGTCAAAGGAGTAGTAAAAGATTTCTTTCTAGCTGGTAGAGGCCCAAGACAAGGTGATCCACTCTCACCCTTCCTCTTTACCCATGTTGTAGACGAGTTCAGATCTATGCCCCACAACGTCCCACAGCACATCCCTGTCGTGTATTGGGAACATCTCCTGATGATAGTACCAGAAATGATGATGTCATCATCGGGAGATATTCCCGATACATGATGGGGATGTGTTGTGGGACGTTGTGGGGCACCCCCGTGTGGGGTGCAAATGTGAACTCATTGCAGACGTGCTTAGTAGATTCATCTCAAAAGCAGATGGGGAAGATTTAATAAGGGGTTGGAGATTAGGCAAAAGGAGCATTTCGGTGACACACCTCCAATTTGTTGATGATATAATAATCTTCTGTGAAGGGAGTGATTTGAGAAGGGTAAGGAAACTTAAGAATCTAATAAATCTCTTTGAGAGTGTCTCCAATTTGAAGATCAATTTTGGAACAAGTTGTGGTTGGAATAAATTTGGAGGATAGGGAGGTAGAGTCTATTGCAAGTTGCTTAGATTGTTCCACATCTGAGTGGCCTTTGACCTATTTAGGTCTTCCCCTAGGTGTTAACCCTAAAGAGAGTCGGTTTTGGGTTCCTATTGTGGAAAAATTTGAAAACTGGTTGGCGGCTTGGAAAACGTTTTGCATCTCTATAGGAGCAGAGTGACTTTGAATAGGGACACTCTTGCAAATCTTCCAACCTACTTCCTATCAGTCTTTAGAATTCCTACATGGGAGGCTAAGAAATTAGAAAAGGCAATGGGAGATTTCTTGTGGGAACCGGGGGGGGGGTGAAAAAGGACCACTTGATTAGATGGGAAGTAGTTAGTTGAAGCAAGGAAGAAAGGGGCCTAGGGATAGGGAACTTAGTCCATAGGAATGAAGCTCTACTAGGAAAGTGATTGTGGAGATGGCCCTTGGAGAGGGAGAGGTTATGGCATGGGGTGGTGGCTAGTATTCATGGTTGCTCAGAGGATGGTTGGGATGTTGGGGTATCTCGTTAGGCAACTCTCTCAACACCTTGGAAGGCTATACACAAAATTCTCCCCGTTTCCTCAGTCTAATCAGGTATGAAGCTTGCTCTGGCTCTTCAATTCTTTTTTGGGAAGATACTTGGGTGGGTAACCAATCCCTCAAAGATCTCTTCCCCTCTCTCTACTCTTTCACTTTACAAAAAAGAGCCAGTATCTGAGTTTCTTCCTAACCCGGTTCCTCCTTTATCTTTGTCTTGGGATTTTGGCTTTTGTAAGGGGTTAAGGGATGAAGAATCCTCTTGTGTTTTTGAGTTACTTCTATTACTTGAGTCTGATTGCTTGGATCCTACTAAACCTGACGGAAGAATTTGGCCCCCTACCCCAAAAGGCTCCTTTACTTGTGCCTCTTTCTTCAAATCCCTTGCTTCAATTCTACCCTTGGGGAATTTCCTATTAAAGAAATTTGGGCTAGGCTGATCACCCCTAAAATTGCTATCTTCTGTTGGGAAGTGTACCATGGTAAGATCAGTACTTTGGAAAATCTGCAAAAGAAGAAACCTTACGTCTTTCCCCTAACTGGTGTTTTCTTTGTAAAGCTCAGAATGTCTTGTCCTTTTGCTGTAGCTTTATGGAATTGGATTTTTGGTTTGTTTGGATGTAGGCGGAACCTGCCATCTGATGTAAGTTTGTTGTTTAACCCTTCTTATTTCGGGTGGCGCAATGAAGAGGGAGAATTACGTGGAAATGTATCAGAGCAGCTCTTGTGTGGACTATTTTGGAAGAAAGGAATGCCAGAATATTCCTAGAAAAGGAAAGGAATCTCCCTGAAGTGCAGGATTGCATATTGACAAGGGCAATCCATTGGCTGAAAATTTTAGACTTTTTTGTTGATTTTTCCTTCTTCTAGGAGGCTTAGAAGAGTGGTAGAATGGGCACCTCCTTCAGATGGTGTCATTAAGCTGAACTTTGATGGGAGTAGCTAGGGTAATCCAGAACTTGGGTGTAGGAGGAGTCCTAAGAAATAAGGATAGCAACATTATTTCCTTGTATTCAGGACCAGTGGGAGTGGGTGACTCCACAAGAGCAGAGATACTAGCTGTTGTACAAGGGATTCAGATTGCAAACCAGATTGGGGTGGAGCATCCTTTAATTGAAGGTGACTCACAGGTGGTGGTGGGATGTCTCTTGAACCAGATTCTGCCATTTGGAGTGATAGAGACCTCCTTAAAAAAGTGAATTGGCTGACTAGCAACATGACTGTTAGTGCCCAATGGGTGAGCAGATCGGCAAGTGCTATAGCTGATTCATTAGCCAAACAAGGGGTTTCTCGGGACAGTCTTTTTTGGACTACCTTGTAACTTATTCAAAATATTTTTAAGAATCTTCTTGTCTTTTCTGAGGGGGCCGCACTTCATGCCTCTTCTTGGGTCACTTGTATCTCTTATGTTCTGTGATTAAAAAATTTCTTCATTTATCAGAAAAAAATGTCTTACTGGACTTAATCGAATACAGCATGATAGAACCAAACATGTTGAGGTGGATCGACACTTTATCAGAGAAAGAGTTGCCTCCCAACAAGTGTGCCTTACGTATGTTGCCTCCGATATGCAGCCTGCTGATCTCTTCACCAAAGCAGTTACAAGGGTCAAGTTAGAGATAGATTTATGCAAGTTGGGAATGACTAATACCTATTCCCAACTTGGGGGGGGGAGTGTGGAGAAACAGTCTAGTAAATTAGTGAAGTCCCTGCTATATTAGTTGTCTTTTTTGTTTACCTGTTATTAGTTTTTTGGGCCTTGTTATTAGTCTTTCTGGGCCTTACTGGGCAACTATTATAGTTGCTGTTATTGTTTATAAGGAGTGTTTTGGGTGGCAGGGGCATAGATGTCATTGTAGATCTTGTTATAATAGAAACATATAAATACTAAATCTGGGCGGCAGAAACAGATTTTGATATGCTCCCTTTCTCTTCTCATTCT